CACATTTCTTCTCTACATGGTGGTAAGTGGCCTCAGCTTCAAATGACCAGGTTTTCCAAACCATGCCAGGCTATAATGCATTTTCCTCCAGTCCCTTTGGGTCATTTAATTTTCTCCTAATTTCAGATTCACCATGAAGCTACCATCATAAACCTGCTGGAAACAATTATGTACCACAAGGTAAGCACATCTTTTCTGAGATGTAGATTTTTATATATCTGAATGTGTAATTAACAAAAAAAATGCAACAAAAGTAGATAGTTGAAAAAACTAAGACCACATTCTAATATGATAGCAATATAAAAATGGCTAAATGTTGATGTGTGTGTTACACATGCAGGAGTCCAGCGAGGCTGCTGGTGATAGTGTACTTGATTTACTGGATTACTGTCATCGCAAACTCACACTGCTGGCGGGACGCTCAGTTTCTGGACAGATCCCAACGGAGGACCGAATTACACACGCACAGCTGTCAGACACGGCATCTGTACAGGTGAAGAACACTTTTTGAGCATTACAGCAAAATATAATTTTACCTCATTATCATTAGCATCATTTACATTACATTTACCAGAACTTGTACACTGTTTCTTGCAGGATCTGCAAAGGCAAAGTGACATGTTAGAGTTTGAAATCTCTGTCAAGGCTCTGTCAGTATTGTGCTACGTCACCGATCACATTGAGAGGTATTTAAGATACTGGTTATTTTAAAGAGACAATATTAAAGGAATAGTTCACCCAAGAATGAACATTTGCTGAATATTTACTCCATCCAACATGTAGATGAGTTTGTTTCTTCTCTGTAAGAGATTTGGAGAAATTTAGCTTTACATCACTTGCTCACCATTGGATCCTCTGCAGTGAATGGGTGCCGTCAGAACGAGAGTCCAACAACTAATCCACACAACTTTAGTCCATCAGTTAACATCTTGTGAAGTGAAAAGCACTGTTGGCTTCAAACCATTTAACTTTCGGCTAAATTACAAGATCTCTATTCATAATATTGCTTTTTCTAGTGAAAATGTTGTCTTGTCTGAATTAGGAGAGATATATGCACAGATCAAGCTCTGTTTACAAGTGAAAACAGTCCAAAACAGTTCTGAACAAATATGTGGGTGGATTTTGATGTGAGAGGACAACAAGGGAGTGAGTTTTTTTTACTGGAGGAAGCGTTATTATGGATTATGGACTCCATAATAACACTTCCTAGTATTAGGGCAGAAGTGATGGTTTGAAGTTAAAAACGTCTTAATGATGGATTTGTTTCTTACAAACCTGCAGCTTTTCACTTCACAAGTTGTTAACTGATGGACTGGAGTGGTGTGGATTACTCGTGGATTATTGTGATGTTTTTATCAGCTGTTTGGACTCTCATTCTGACGGCACCCATTCACTGCAGAGCATCCATTGGTGAGCAAGTGATGCAATGCTACATTTCCATCCAAATCTGATGAAGAAACAAACTCATCATCTACATCTTGGATGAACACATTTTCAGCCAATTTCATTTTTGGGTGAACTATTCCTTTACACATTGCACATAAAACAAATATAAATGCAGATCAATTCTAAAATACAAATTTAAAAACAGTTTTAAAACAAATGCCTAGTACTGAATGTTGAAATATCCCCTTTTAATGTAGTTTGAGTTTGAGTGTGCTCTCGAGGATGCTGTGCACTCATAATATGCCCTGTGTGCTGGTACAATTGGTGGAAAATTGCCCCTGGAACAGAGGTTAGTCTCTCAATTGTACTGTGTTTTAAGCATGTGTTATATTGGCTGTACAAAGCGCATGAGGATGAAGAAAATCAGCAAAAACAGTCTTTAATCCAATAAATCCAACAGGCAAGGAAAACTCAGGAAACAGAATACAACAACCACTTAACATAAACGAGAACAGACCAAGAACTGGGGAAAACTAAGGGCTTAAATACTAAGGGAGAACTGACAAGATAATTAACAGAACAGGTGAATGTAATCATTAATCAGACACACTGAGAACACATTGAAACAGAAAGCTGACCATAACCCCACCTTACATATATATAAATCAAATTACAGAACAGCTTTACACAGTGTCTCATAGGAGTAGATCAAATGTTTCCATGAGCAGCACGTTTATCAGGAAATATGCTCAAAGTGGTACAACATTTTATTAACGAAATTCATGTTCTCAGTAGCATGCTGGAATTACCATATTTTTAGTAATTTCTGTGAAAGCCTGCTTAAATCTATTCAAACACCTCCATAGACTTACATTAGAAAAGGGAAAAGAGTTTATCAGTAACATTTTTGACTGCATAGTCTAGTCTTTTTCTCTGGTGTAGGAACACTGGAGAAATACACAGAGGGAAAGTGGAGAACCGTCCGGCTTGAAGATCAGCTAAAGCTGAGTAAACATGACGGCCAGGTGTGGATGGCTTTACTGAACCTGCTACTCAAACCAGACTGCCAAAGGAAATATGATTTCAATAGCTTTAACAAAACACAGCTCTTAAAGGTAAGACTTTACACGGGGCAAAAGTTGTTTTTTTAATATCTATCTATCTATCTATCTGTGTTCTGTGACACCATATCTTATTCAATATCAGTGATCTATCATTATTATTCTTTCAATGCAGCTTCGTGGGTTTTTGACAGACGTTGTTATAGATCAGTTACCGAATCTACTTGATCTCAGGCATTTTCTCAGTCAACTTACTGTCACAGATCCAGCGGCCCCTAAAAAAGATCTCATCTTGGAGCAGGTATTCCAGCAAACACACACCCATATACTACCATTCAAAAGTTTGGGGTCGGTAAGATTTGTTTTTAAAGACGTTAATATTTTTATGTAGCAAGGTTGCATTAAAATGATCAAAAGTGACAGTAATTCCATTCATAATATTACAAAAGATTTATTTGTATTTTTTTCAAATAAATGCTGTTTCGTTTCAAATAAACATAATTTTCATTCATTTAGGTGCCAGAGATATGGAATAATATTGTAACGGAGAACAGCAGCAAGTGGAAAGCCATTGCTAAATACCAAGTGACACATGTTTTCAACCCCTCTGAAAGTGAATTAAGAGAGCAAGCTAGCAGGTGAGATGTGATGTCTATTTGTAAATGTCTTTCATAAGGGATGAAGTGATGAGGAGCAGTTATAAAATGTCATTTTAACAGTATGCATATATACTGTATAACTGTTTATTTGCACCCTTCTGATCAGGTTGGCTCAAACATATAATCTAGATGTGATGGAGAATCTAATCCCAGACAAACCCAAGTGTGGAGCCTGTGGAAGAGTGGGTGCAAAACGCTGCTCCCGCTGTCAGGGAGAGTGGTATTGCAACAGGTATAACAACACATGGGCCAAAATGATTAACTTTTTCAGATTTAACCCTATAAGTGAATAATAAATTCTTAAAGGGGTCATATGACGTTGCTAAAAAGAACATTATTTTGTGTATTTGGTGTAATGAAATGTGTTTAGCTTTCACAACGAAACACAGCGTCACACACCGCGGCCTACAGTAAGCAGAGGCGGGCTTGAGAATGGCGCGGCCGGCGGATTCGACGAAGGAGCGTCCGGCGGGCTTGCGGCAACCACATGTGACGACCCTGGGCTGGACTCCGCTTCATCCACGGTGAAAGCCAATCCGGCGATCCACAGCGCAAAGTTGATGTATTTCCTCAGCGAGCAGCACGGATCAGCTCCAGGCATGACGAAGCGGATATCGTCCTCTTTTGGAAGACCAAACAAAGTAGTTTCGCTTTCACAACGAAACACACAGCGTCTTCACGACATGGCGGCGGCGGCAGCAACAATACTACAGCGAGAATAAAAGTTACGCCTTCTTTCTTTGTGTGAACATTTGGGGCGGTGTTATGCAAATCTTCCCACATCGTGACGTAGAGCGAGCCGTTTTAGGTAGGCGTGGTTGACTCTTAACTTTTATAAAGAATATCTCTTTGGATTTGAGACTTTAGTCTTTGCAACTTTACAGATCTTCTTTATGCACCAAGAGCTTGTAACACTTCAAAGAGAAAGGAAAAATGTAAATCGTATCATATGACCCCTTTAACTAGATGAAGAGTAGAGTAATATATTTGAATTGCCCTTTAATTTTGGCTTTGCCATGTTTTGTTCAAGGTTATATTATTGTTAATAATTCTCTTTGTCTGGAATTTCTCTTTATAGAGAGTGTCAGGTGAAACACTGGCCCAAGCACAAGCCTGCATGCAAACTCATGGCAGAGGCCATAGAAAAGCTTCAGGAGGAACTGAACATCAGCAGCTGAAGTACAGCTGATAAATGAAAGGGCTGGAGAGAGTCATGCTGTGGGGCTCAGAGTCCACTATGAACTGTTCAATTCAATGGACAATGATGGAAAAAGACAAATGATACAACTGTTCCTGACTGTTTCTTTCTTGAGCTGTTCTGTTTGTATATTGAGTTTGAAGAAAGTAGATCATTCTTGATAGAAAGCTTTCATATATTCATATTCTTTCTAAGTGTATGTTTATAAACATGTTTACATATGACATCATTTATTTATATTTCTCACATTTTAATTGATTGATTATTAACTGTTACACTATAACCTTTAAATGAGAAATGGAAATAGACTGAATTAACTGCTAAAATACATTTGAGATGCAATCACTTAGATTTTTACTGACAAAATTTTATTGTATCTGTTGTAAATGACTTCCTTTAATTTGGAAAGCAAAAAGAAGACATTTTGAACAATATCGTTTCCACTGTTTTTCATGCAATTACAATGAATGATGACTGGAGGTTTTAAATTTTAGAATTAAAAAATAAATCAATTTGAACTACATATGAAAAAACATTTCTCATTTTCATTTGGCATAAATTGATGTACTAAAATAACTAAAACTAAACGCATACATACATATACTGTATATATAACAAATTGAAAATATAAAAATAAATTAAAACTAGTAATTAAAACTATAATAATATCCCAATGATACTAAAATAAAACTGTTCTGCTTAAAAAGGGTGCAAAAGTGACATAAATTTAATTATTTTATTTGTACCTTTTACGAAACACCCCACAAACCATGTTGAGCTGATTGTTTAATTGTAATGTTCACACAGCCTCCGTGTTCCAGTGGGATTTGCTCTGTAAAAATCCAAAACACTTGTTACAAGTGCCTTTGAATCTCATAACATGGGTGAAAACACGACCCTAGAGATCTGTACTGCTCCACTGCCAAAGAACACATGCATAGTTTCTCCCAGCAGGCCGTGAGACAGACGTCTGGATTTGTGGGTATCCATAACAGATTTGGAACTTCACAGTTCAAATTTAATTCACAAACCTTCTTTTTGGAATATAAGAAACCTTTGGTTTGTATAATAGAGAACTATGTGGAATTGTATTACCACTGTATATGCTGTACTGAAACCTGTATTTGAACAAATTACAGTACATTACACACTGGATATATTCAACTATTTTCAGTTTCTTGTATGGATGTAAACACAAAAAGAAAATCAAATACATAAGACACTCAAAAGAAGAAAAAGACAACAACAACAACAAGAAAAGATGAACTGATCTATAATAGTAATTCGTTTTTAGTGGTGTAATTATTGTCTTGTATCAAACGTACTGACATTTCAAACAGGAACAATCAGTCTTTTAGGACATTAGCTTCATTTGTCTTTCAACACATTGAGACTTTTCCAGTGCATTCAACATAGTTATCAAATTTTAAGCTAATACTTGATTCATTCATTTGTTGAACAATAAAATGTACAAAAAGTAACATTTCGCAGAAGAACTGAAAAGTTAACATGATAAATGAAGCACTTTTCTACTGTAAATACTTAATCTGCTTGGACCTTCAAACTTGAGATGTTTGGTTCAGAAACATCATTTCATGGTTTCATGATCAATAACCAGCAAGACAATATCACAGTACAGTACACAGACCTTTCTCGACCCTTTATATCAAATGTTAAAAAGAGCAATACAAAATCTAGATGTACCCACAATTATGTCTAAAGGACATGTTTTATAAAACAGATATTAACAAAATACATACAAAACTTTCAAAAACATGTTGAAAGTGTATAAAAAGAACACATTTCTGTTTACCATGTACGATGAACTGTGTGTAGAATATGCTTGGAATTCTTTAGTTAAGGTCTGAAGTATGTTTTATTGTTAGAAACTGGAATAAACTGTTTCTAAATTAATTTTCACAGATTATATTCCCTTTTTTCCGTCTTCGGTTGTCGTCCATGGAATCTGAATTAAGAAAGACAATTTCTGATTAAAAAAATATACATATATTTAGACAAAAAAATATATACATTAAAGTCATGAAAGCTTGAAGTGCTGTAACATATGATAGAATGTGATTGTCTTACCTTGCTAAACTCTCTTTAGTTCCAGCTCTCAGCACCGCTGTAGAAGAAAATGAAGAAAATTTCACTAAAACTTCAGAGAAATGACAATATTTCCAATTACTTAAGTTATACAAAGATGAAGAGTAAGGTATAACTGAATCAAAGATTGAGGAGTTACAGGAAGTCATGCAAAGCTACATGCACAGTGTGACATGTTACTGGAAGAACATGCGAACGATCAGACTGACAACACATATGATTACAGTGAAACATACATAGCTATGTTTACATGCACCCAAATAATCTGTTTATAATTGGACTGATGGCTCAATCGGACTGAAAAGTGTCCATGTAAACACCTCAACTGATATGATGGAGAAAATAAGCATGTAATCTTCTGAATCCAAATATTTTCTCAAACGGATTAAAAAATGCCACACCAGTGGAATAGAGTCTGAAAGTGACTATATGAAACATACACAAGACTGTGTAGCGATGAATGATGGTGAATTCCTGATACATGTGTGAGAAAAGAGAAAAGTGGTGGCGGGTCGTGAATGAATACAAAGTGAGAAAATGTAAAGTTGAGACATAAGAAGAGTAGGAACTTTAAAACAAGAAGAGCACTGATGTGAACGAATGTGTTTGCAGAGGAGACGTATGGACATAACAATGCAAAGACAGAAAAGGTCAATAAAGAGCGAACAGATGAGCTGCTGAAAGGTTTTGTACCTGCAGGATGCATGTACAGTTGCATACCCCGTGTGAAAGTGTGTGTGTGTGTGTGTGTGAATCTGTGTCACCAGTCAGGCTGTCTTGGGGGGGCTGAGGCCCGAGGATACCACCTCATTGTGTCATAGGATGGATAGCTGAAAAAAACCCAGGTGCACTTTGAAAGTTTGGAATCTGACAGATCTAAACTCAGTGTGGCAACTTTTGTTTAGCTCCAAAAAAATGACAGAAAACTGTCATGCAGAGGATCTGTAAGGATAGGGATGCATGCTGGGATACAGATGTCATGCTATTACATTATTCACTATTTGCATGCATTTAATTTAGTCCTAAATGTTAGGAAAAACTACAATTTTGTAATGAATTATAGAAACAGATCAATTCTACCAACACAGAAATTTATACAACTATTTTCATAATTTGACCAATGAAACAATACAATTATAGACATCCATGCTATTTTATGTTTAAAACAAACAAAAAAAAAACTTACATGCTGAAGTGCATTCAGGCAATATTGTAATGTACAGTATGAAAGACATAGCTGTTCAATTTTTAACCGACTACAAAAAAAAAAAGGATAGTGTATATATTGTAATAATAGAATCTTATAATCATATTTTAGTGTTCAAAATATATAATACGAAAAAATATATAGAACAAATATATCATCTAAAAATAGTAATATTTAACAAAATATGGGAAATCAGCTGGTCATATCATGCATTTTTTCAAATAAGTCATTTTCACTCAAGAGAAAGGTGTCAAATATACTGTCACTCCTTCAGCTGTTGTATTAGAAACACCTTTGCAGTGTTAATATTTTTGTCATTTAATGCTAAGGTGATGCAACACAAAGTATAGATGTACAATGTTAATAATTATGGAAATGCGTCACAGTCTGTGAAAAGGGTCCATACATACTGTTCATATACTCAGAAAAACATTCATGCACACAATTGACCTATAGACATTCAGCTAATACTGATGATTTAATCATGCAGAGATGAAGTGGTGGAATGATCTCTACCTGCTCATCACGGGGTTGTTTATGCCATATAAAGACTCACTATGATAACCACTGACAACAACATCCAAACTACTGTAAATGAAACAGTGAAGGTAAACATTAGTCGCTTGTAAAAGTAGCATGAGATGAATGATTGAATGCATGTAAGTAGTTTATAGAGTGACATGATTTCCGTAAAAAAAAAGTTATAAAGTATTTATTTAGTATCTGAGATTTCAAATGTGCAATGATAAGATGGAAAGTAAAAGAAATTTGAAAAGATAATGTAGATGAAAAGTGGTTTGTTATCAGAATTTGAGGAGAATATGGAAAATAAGAGCGGGTTTGAGGATATAAGAGACATAAGATGACTCTTAAAAGAAGAAAACAAGGCTGTTTCAAACACATGTGGAGTAACAGTCCTCCTTGAATCTTGGTAAAGATTTTCAGTTTAGTTGCAGTTCTGAATTTGATGCATTTGAAGAAAATGCTTGATCCATTTTATAAGGCCATATTTCACTTCACAGATATTACATATGACACATACTGCAACCTTGTGGTGATTCAGTCTAAATTCAGCAGGTATGTGTTCACTTACTCATCATAGACGTCCTCAGTGTCCATCCTGCGATAGAATTTGCCGAGTTTTACAGATAAGATGATGCTGGGAATGAGTAACAAACAGCATCCTCCCAGACCAAACCAGAATGTGTTCTAAAACACACACAC